CTGTCTGCTTTCCCTGATGCGTGAGTGTGAATCTGTGGCAATGGGCTCACGCTGTTGGAGATCAGAGGACCTTCATTCACCGATCTAGTCCAGGTGACACAAACATGGCGCCTAGGGCTCGGAAACTCAATTCCCGTGGGTCACCACAGCGGAGTTCTGGAAACATCTTTCTAGGGATGCGGAGTTTAAGGAGTCAGCATTTAGTCTTTAAGTACTTTCTATACTTCAACAAATGACAGGATGCTTTGAGGGTTTACATTTGGGGGAGTTTTTGCATGACTGCCTGTTGGGGGAAGTTTCTTTCTGTGTTTCTTTCTGTCGGTCAGTCGGTCGGTTAGTGGCTGGGTGGGTCGGTGGGTCGCTCTGTCTGTCTGTCTGTCTGTCTGTCTGTCTGTCTGTCTGTCTGTCTGTCTGTCTGTCTGTCTGTCTGTCTGTCTGTCTGTCTGTCTGTCTGTCTGTCTGTCTGTCTGTCTGTCTGTCTGTCTGTCTGTCTGTCTGTCTGTCTGTCTGTCTGTCTGTCTGTCTGTCTGTCTGTCTGTCTGTCTGTCTGTCTGTCTGTCTGTCTGTCTGTCTGTCTGTCTGTCTGTCTGTCTGTCTGTCTGTCTGTCTGTCTGTCTGTCTGTCTGTCTGTCTGTCTGTCTGTCTGTCTGTCTGTCTGTCTGTCTGTCTGTCTGTCTGTCTGTCTGTCTCTGTCTTTGATTAGTTACGTTTTTTATAAACAAATCTGCACTTTATATGGTCGACATCATTTCAGCCGTCTTCACTCCCGACTACGTGATTTGTAACCATTTTTCGATAGGTCAACATAAAAGTACAGGCAGATTTTTATGAAAATTCCCCTTATTGTAAATTTGAACTTATTGCCACAGGAATCGGTGGGTACAAGTGCTAGCTAATGTAACATCGCGGGTCATTTTTGGTTTCTGTAAAACGCCAAATCCGAGCGGTCCCAAATTCTAGGGTTCTAACATGTACCGTGTAACGTGTGTAAGGGAACCTTTTCTCGAATTTTACAACAAATGACCTAACCTTCCAAGTCGACACAGACCAAAATGGGTGCTAGGTAATTTCATGGGAAGTAAATGCGACCAGCCACAGGCTTAGACAGAGTCCTTAACTTACTTTTCTTTTACTTCTTCTTCCTACATTAACGAAGGTAGGTATTGTGTCAGGTTTGTGAGGAGTATTTCTCGATACTATATGTGCCTTTGGCGTTTTAGCCTCTGTCTTCAGTGCGCTTTTCTCTCTGGATGTGCTTCCATTCGCCATCACCAGATAACTATTACTGATAGCTGGGAGGGGGGTTGGAGGAGTGCTCAAAGGACCTGAGCTTCCAAGTTTCCATGCCTTACCATGACCAAGTCAAAATTCTCACTGAAGTAAACCGGCCATGGGCTTGTCCTCTATGGTATATTTCTTGAATGGCTACTCCCGTGTTTTAATTAATTATTGACAAATATTTCACAACATCGGGACTTGAAATATACAATGTACTTATCACATAATAAGTTTCCGTGGGAGGAGATCTAAGTGAACAACATGTTTGCCAGTAATGAGGAGAAATGTAACAGATTGCTACAATGGTCATCAAGATTGTTGGGGTGGCACGGGAGCGGGGGAATGTAGTTGCTGAAAGCTCATTGATTGTCAGATGTTTACGATAGCGTTTTTATTTTTAAATGTTGAAAGCTTCTGTTTGTTTTTCTGCTCATTGTCGGGCGAATCTCTCTCTCTCTCTCTCTCTCTCTCTCTCTCTCTCTCTCTCTCTCTCTCTCTCTCTCTCTCTTTCTATCTCTCTCTTTCTCTCTCTCTCTCTCTCTCTCTCTCTCTCTCTCTCTCTCTCTCTCTCTCTCTCTCTCTTCGTCTGTCTCTCTTCCCTCCCACGCCCCGTTTAAAAAAAAAAGATTGAATATTTTTGTGCTGTGTGGCTGGTAAGGTGTGTGTTAGGTGGGCGGTGTGGCGAGTACAGTGTGAGGACAATAATACACGAACATAACTGTAGAAGTAACTGTGGCCGAAATGATGTTGACCTTATAGTTGATCTTATAGTTGATCTTATAGTTGATCTTATAGTTGATCTTATAGTTGATCTTATAGTTGATCTTATAGTTGATATTATAGTTGATCTTATAGTTGACCTTATAGTTGACCTTATAGTTGACCCTATAGTTGATCTTATAGTTGATCTTATAGTTGATCTTATAGTTGATCTTATAGTTGATCTTATAGTTGATCTTATAGTTGATCTTATAGTTGATCTTATAGTTGATCTTATAACCATCCAGCGCCTACTTATTTCTACAAATATGGATCTGGCACCATATGGCCATGTGGTCTAAATGGGTCGTATATATACGTTACTGGTACAAATAGTTGACGTCTGTGGCTTAGGCGTTGCGAACTAGCTGGGTTCGATCCCAGCTGTGGGCCTTGCGCATCGACAATGGTATCGAGAAGCCAAACCCTCCAGAAAGCAGCGGCAAACTGCTGGATGTAAGTTTGCCTCTAAAAACCACAATGGCCAAAAAAAGCTTGGTTTGGTCCTGAAAAAGATGCATAACCAACTTTTTTTTTTTTTTTACAAATACTTCTTTGAATCAGCAAATCAGGATGCTTGGTCATCACGTTAGAATGCAGCAACATCAATTATCATCACAGTTAATACATCTCAGAAGATCAGCTGCAAGAGCAAGAGGATGGCCACGGAAACAATATGCACTGACAAAATTAGAGACTGAATGAGTGACGTTCAACGCCACCAGGACATCACACCGAGCGATAAACACTTGGTGACACAAAGTGTCACCATTCGGATGAGGATCACACGGGAACAGGCCACAGAAATCCCATTCAACATAGGTTGAGTTATTTAGGGCCCTCGGCAACAGCCAGGATGCGGCTTTAAAACAACAACTAACTGAGAACATTAGGACACATTATACAATTGCCGGGACCAGCCGCAGTGAACTAGATCGTAAATTATTCCTTCCCACGCCGCTTAACAGCAGATATGTTTATAATGATGATGATTAATTCTACAGAGAAAGTTAGTGAGTCATTATAGCCACCGACTGCTCCAGCCAAGGCACCCGAGAAAGAGGAATGCTTGTTGGATACCTCTCTGGACACGGGTCATTTAGTTAAGAAGGACATTACCTCTCTTTACATTAAGGCGTATGTCAACAGAAAGGGCAGATAATCAGTGTTGACCCATGTAAAACATACCAAGACGTTTTTCTCTACACAGCTTTTAACTGTGTTTGCCTCCCGCTGTGTGTGTATACGCGTGCAACCACAGTTTGTTCATTGTCCCGGCTCAGGTGTATGTCCAACGTAGCTGGACTAGGAAGTCTAGTAATAGGAGTTTGTTTACTTTGGTTTCAATCATGTCTACACTGGTTGGGGTTGTTGGGCAACCTTCTGGATCATTAGAGCCATCATCATCTGTAGATGTTGTGAGCCATTTTTTAGTGCTTTAATGTCATCGTCATCACAATCATCAACTTGTGGCTGTTCAAGAAGTTATATGCTAATCATCTCTTTGTGGGATGCAATTTTTCGTTATTTTGAATCCCCATCCTGGCTCTTGCCAGGGGCCGCAATATAGACCGACCATAAATATTTTCTAATGGCTGAACGTGGTTTCTGGGACTCTCCACGGGTGATCCTCATCCACATGGTGGCCCTTTGTGTCATCGGGTGTTTATCACTTGTGTGATGTCTTAGTGGGGTAAAATGTACTACTACTAGTGGCTGTTCGACATCGCTCATTGGCTGGCCGGTAGACGACTTCCCTTCGGGACAGTATTTGGGTCTCTCTTTCTTGATCGCACCAATACTGCAAGAGTCCTTTTCAGGGCTACTTGGTGGCGAGCAATGCTAAGCGATTTTAAATGATGCACATAAACCTAGTCACAGTTATAACCAGAAGCTTCCCTCTTGTAGTGATGCTAGTTGAACAAGACTATTTGCTGTTTGAGCAGACTGACGCTACAAACAGTTAGCCTTTTCCCCAGCCAAAACTCCCGTTCTCACACTATTCCTCTCAAGAGTAGAACGTTGTCCACGACAACGTCGCTATCGCCACAAACCATTTCAACTAGGATGGGAATTGCTTAAATTGTATGTATCAACCGTAGTCCAATCCTTTTCAGTACGACTTAGTTTTTGAGATACGGTATACTATTTAACTGATGTGATTTTGACGCTCGCCTGCGGATCGGAAGGTCGTGGGTTTAGGTCCCCCCAGGTCGACCCAGCCTCGAGTGGGTACCAGGTAAAGTCTTAGGAAGTAAAGGCAGCCGGTGTTGTGCTAACCACATTACCCACTAAGTACCGTTTGATTTATAAAATATAGGTCTAGCCCTGTATACCCTATACACCCATAGGCGTGGAAAAGGATCCTTTACTTTTACCAATCTCTTTGTCTTTGAACGAAAGTATGCTGTCACTTGTCATTTGTGTAGTCATTATCCATGTGTCGAAACGTCAGTCTGTCTATACATATGTAATGTAATGTCTCAGTGTCTGTCCGTCTTTTTTCATGCTATCGAAATGACTATCTTCTTTTTCTTCACTTCCTCTTTTACCGCTGTGGGTGTCGAGGGAGATATAGGGTTCTGTTTCCAGCTCTTCTGGCCGCCTCGACCTTAGGCATATCGTGCTGTTGTAGAGTTTCTCTGATTGTCTACCTGTCTAAACTACTGCCGGACGCCTTAATGCCCCTCTGCCTCTGTAAATATTTCCATATATGCCTGTATGTTTACTTATTTCAATGTCTGGTCTTGTTCGCTCAGTCTCCCGGTTCCTTCAGTGTACAGTGTCATTAATGTCTGTCTTCCCCTACAGTTTAATCTTTTATAGTTTTAAATAATTCTGTCTCCAAAAGTTGATTTTGAAAATTAACGAAGGGCGTGGAGTAATGATAACGACGATAATTACGATGACAATAATCATGATGATGAAAACAACAAATGACATGTATGTTTGTCTATCTGCAGGTGTGGTTCAAAAATCGAAGAGCAAAATGCAGACAGCAGGCTAAAGCTGCAGACCAAAAGAAAACAACGAACACCAGCGGCAACACCATCAGTAGCAACAACAGCAACAGCAGTAACAGTAGCAATAATGGCGGAAGCACCACCAGCCCACCGCCAAAGAAAGAACCCAAACCTACCCCACCACCAGCGTCTGTGTCACCTATCGATTACAAGCCATCCGTTGCCTCGCCCATGCTGCATCCGCCGAGCATCTCGTTGACAGGCAGCCAACAGAGACGAGATAGCAGCGATGTGTGGAACCCGGCCAACCCCATGTTCCAGCCCATGGCGGATTTAAGCAGCTGCATGCAGCGCCCTCATTACGGCATTCCTAACGGTCAGACTCATTACGGACAGCAAAACTACAATGGCTACCACCACTACGGTAGCAACATGGATTCGGTCTATTCCCTCCCCAGCATGCAAATCCCTGTTATGTCCAGCTCACATCAAGTCGGGAACCTTCCTTCGCAACATTCATACCAGATGGCAGGTTATGGATCTCTGCCTCCTGCCAACACTCTTCCACGCCCTAACCCCCAACCACACGGAGACTGCGGTGATTACAAAGACTATGTTCGGCTGTTTTAAATCTGGGAAGATCTGTATAAGACTACGAAAGACTGTTCTAATGTCTGAAAAGATCCGAACAGGACTAAGAAAGACTATTGAAGTCTGCAAAGATCTGACCAACTTGGACAGTCAATTTTTCTAGAGCAAGCCATACCAGTACGTGATGTGTCGAGATACAAAGACGACGAAGTGTTAGTCTTGTCAGAAGTGAACTTGCACATTCGCTGAGATCTGCTTGTTTCCGAAGTTCCACTTGGACTGGACACATGCGCAGACGTTGGTACGTGGAGTATGTCTGCCTCACAGACGGTACCACTACTGTACTACTGTGTTTTTTCCTCCAGCCATTGCTAAAAGTTGATTGTATAGCTTAACATTCATTGCTATAGCTTAAAAAGTTGATCGTCACAATCAAAAGCTAATTGTCAAAGTTCGTACTTGATTGCTGTAATGCCCAGACTGTTATAGCTTAATATGGCTGACAGAGCATAAGTCGTCGCTTAAGGTTGACAGCGACATTTCGAGGTTGACTGTCATAGCTAAAGCGTGGTTTTCATAGATTTTGGCTTAGTGCCCCAGTTAACATTTATCACCGTTTCAGCGTACTGTCATAGCTATAAATTGACAGTCTTAAATACAAGTTGACTGACTGCCATAGCTAGAGCTAGACTTCTGTATACAAAAAGAGTTCGATGTTAACTGTCATAGCTTAAATCAGACAGTAATGGTTTTCCACTGACTAAAACAGTTTAAGGCAAACTGTCCCATATTAGAGTTTACAGACTTTGCAGGATGTTAGCAGTCACTGTATATAGCCGGGGGAAAAAAACAGTCACAAAAGAGAGTGTCTGTTTTAGCTTAATATTGACCGTCAACGACGACTGTCATAGCTTAAACTTGTCAGTCACCTCAGAGTTTTACTGTCACTGTTGAATGTCAAATTAGCCATTCTCATAATTCAACATCTACAGGCATAGTCAACGGAGTGATGTCACAGTTTGATCGTAACAGTTAATATTTGACTGTCATAGTTTAACATTAACAGTCACCTAATGTTTTCTAACGTAATAACAAACCGTTAAAAATTTACAACGAAACAATGCCATGCTTTCAAGAGCCATATGAGGGGAAACGAAATTCCAAATAAATGAATCCCTTCGCCTTTTGACATTAATTCTGTGAAGGCTGTACAATGCGCCCAGTGTCCTCGTCCCAAATCGCACTCCAAACACGTGCATACTTAGTTCAGAACTTTCCCCTACAGCAAAACTTGCGAGAATAAACTTGCAGTTGAAGTACCGGTTCATAGAGGCGACACAACTGATCACCTGAGCATATGAAACTGATCGCAAAAGCGCAGTTGATAGGATGCCCGCTTTCAAATCCAGCTGCGACTCGCTGCAGCCACGGTCGGTGTTCGAAACCGGGCGGTTTCCGGCGTTCACCCAGCCTCTAGGTAACGGGTACCAGAGTTGACCCTGTGGGGTGAATGGAGGAACGTCTCTGTAGCTACGGAGTTACATGCGAACGGCGACACAGGCGGACAGTTTCTTATCAGCTGTACGTACTGGTGGCAGAGCACTTATGGTTTATGGCCTTTTGTCAATGACGCTGGTTCACATCTCCCAACTTTACTTTATTTTACTTTAAGAGGAAACGCCAACTCAAACCTTTAAATGATCCCAAATGGTTAAAATTACAACTGAATAAATGTAACCCAGGCAAACTTCAAACCCATTCTTGTTTTGTTCGGATCGAGCACGTGTAAGTAAAGTAGATGCGCCTTTTCCGAGCCTTCCTGCGTTGTGTGCACCACTGGCTAAACCTGTATATTATAAACGATATATCTATAATCTGAGTTGCCATGGCTGTGTGAGTGCATTGTAAACAATCTTCTATAAACTGAATATCCATGGCTGTGTGAGTGCATTGTCAGACGTCTATCTAAAAATGGAATGCCAATTGTTGATTGTTGAATTAGGAATCGACATGACAGCACTCCAGTCACTCACATAAGCGCTGTGTCCCCATCTTTAACAGCCAGAATTCCAATCCTGATGGCACCAGTAACTGTTGAATTGAGGTCTACACAGACTGGCATTCGGTTCCTGTTTGCCACAGGGACACCCTGGGCAACCTCTTCAGTGTTAACGCGGTACAGCATGTCGTTTATACGCACCGGACATTCATCGCGTTATGTTGATTGTGTTAGATTTGATCCCTTTTCCCGCCTTTAGGCGCATCGGGCATATGGAAAGAGCACCTATACTTTTTACAGACCAATCGGCACTAGGTGGGTAATGTGGTCAGCATTACGCCGGCCATCTTTACTTCCCCTGGACATCCATCCCGGTACGCATTTTAGGCCTAAGTCGACCTGCAACTCCCCATACCATGAGAAAAATCCACGCAGCCAGCAGTGGGTTTCGATCGCGGTACGTTGGAATTACGAGTCGGACTCGCAACGCCTTAGCCACGGACGCCGCTATGTTGATTGTGTGAATATAAGATTATCATTCATTGAAAAAATCGGCTTTAATGTTTATATATATATATATATATATATATATATATATATATATATACATACACACACACACTTTCAGGGCTCCAGCCTGGGGCGGGATGGGGGAAGCTCAGGATTTAAGGCCTCCTGGCAGATGCAGCCGCCCCAAATTGTATAATTAAGACAATCCTTTACCTAGGATCGAACCGTGGCTCCCATTGTACGAGGTTTTGAACTTTGGCCTATACTTTATGCTTGTCTTTCCATTTTCTGTCTTTTCTCTTTCCTATCTTTGGCTACGTATGAGTGCCCAGTGACCTAACCACTCTAACCACAGTAGTTTTTTTCTTTTTAAACTTGAAAATATGTAATTATTGCTGAGGGTGTGAATGATATGCTTATTGTGAACGACTGTGAAGTTAGGGGTGGGGATTGTAAGTCATTCATGAAGCCAGAAATAATGTTATAGATGTACTTTGAAACAATCTGGACATGTACCTGTTGCTTTGTACTGTTCTTATTAAACACAGCAATTTGATTTTAAAATGCAATGTTTCTCGTATCTTATGAATGTGTTCATGTAGAATGCGAAAGTAACATAAAGATGTGAAATTAAAATAAACTAATTATACGGCAAGTGTAAAACAACAACGCCTGGTGTTTTCTCCCCATCAAAGATAGGTAATCCAATGCAAAATATGAAGAAACATAATGTCAGTACGGCAGAGATTTCACAGCACTTGGGAATTTGGAACGGTCAAAAGAAATCAGAACTACTTAAAATGTTTTATCATAGAGTATTATTTAGTATAGAGCGGAAACACGGAGAACAACCAAGGCAGTTACTAATAAACTAGAAACATTCACTAAGTGGTGCTTGCGCATAAAAGAGGGAATTAAATGGTATGATATAATCACTAATGCAGAGCTTTGGAAAGAGGAAAACAGGTTCCAGTGGACCAAGAGCTGAAGAAACGACGCTGGCGTTGAGAAAGCCTGAGAGCAATATAACTAGAATATCTTTGCCCTGGAACCCACAGGTTAGTTGCGTATCCTTTACAGAACGTTGCAGAACCTACCCCAACAGCCCCTGGCTGTTGTGTGGTTTTTCTAGGCAAATTTACGTCAAGTAGTTTGCTAGTTCTTTCTTGGCGTTCTTGATACCACTGTCGAAACCAACGCAAGGCGCATGGCGCGCTGCCGGGATCGAACCCGGCATCCCGGCATTACGAAGCGTTCGCATCCAATTAGCCACACAGAGCCGACGGAACCCACAGGGGCACATAAAAAAAGGAAGATATAAACAAAAACGCCTGGAGAAGAGAGTTAGAGAGTGATGTTAAAAAATAAAAAGGACAGGGGGAGAGCTGCATGCGGTAGCGAAGGATACAAAGACTTGGCGTTAGTTGGTTGAGGGCCTATGCTCCACTGGGGCATAGAAAGGCAGAAGAAGATGACGGCAGAGATGATGGTCAAAACGCGAGCGCACGCATACACACACCCAGACACACAAACACACACCCCCACCCCTACACACACCCACACCACCACAATCCTACACACACACACACATACACACAAACACACACACACAATGAAACTAAATCAAATATTGGTGACCACAGATTGGTAATACAAGGAAACGAATTACTGTACTCATTGAAATCAGTCAATCAATCGAGTGCTCGTCTTTATAGTCAAGGGGATATGTAATGACTCTCTGACACACGCTCTCTTGTCTTTGTTGTATATTCTCTCAGACAGACTTCTGTTCGTCCATCACTTGATGTTGTCCTCCCACTTGTATCGTTGTCCATGCCCTGCTTTTCTGCCTACTATATGTATCTCCAGCATGGGTTTTAAAAGAGTATTATGTCTTTACTGTGGTCGAAATGCTTCAATTTTTTGTGTCTGGCAACTTTTCATCGCCACCCGATAAGCAGACAACAAACAAGCCGCCACTTTGTTTACCTAGTCAGGGGTGCATTGTTTCGTTATTAGCATGGAGTTGTTGTTGTTATAGATCCAGCAGCGCATGAGCTTTCGCCCCCTTGGCCCAATGCCATGTAGTGGAATGTGCATGTTGTCACAAGCTGTTCTTTTCCTCCGTACAAGGTGTTCCACTTGTCTGGTCCCGGAGGGAGTAGCATTTTTCTAGTCTCGCTGAGTTTTGGGCACTCAAAGAGATGGTGTTCAACAGTTTCGTAGGGGTAGTTACATAGCTGGTACCTGCAGGAGTGTTGTGACTGTATTCTGTTTAAATGTTCACTGAGTGGAGTATGTTGTGTTCTAAGTCTGAAGATGGTGGCCTGGTCCCTTCTAGTTAGATGGTTAATGCTGTCATTAGGATCAGGGCTAGCCATATGTCTATATACCACTCTTCCAGTGTCTCCCATTAATTAGCATGGAGCAAACAAGCTAACATTAAATAATGTTTAAAACCCAGAAAAAGCGCCGTTGAGACAGTTTAATTGATGCGACAAGTTTATAGGGATAAATATTTATCTCGTGC